TCAGCATATATAGATGTCTTTCTGGTGTAGTGGCTTTCCTAAATAATCAAGGGTCATGCATCTCAGGTGGTACAGTCCAGTTAAATACAGGTCAAGAGCCCTTCAGATTTTTTCCTTAACTTTTTTCCTTAATTATTTTTATTTTATTTAGTGTCAATTCATATGATGGCTCTGTTTGAAATTTAGAAATACATGTTTAATATCCATGTAGACTCTGGAGGCCAAAATGCATACAAAATCATATTTTGAATCATTTCCAAGACACGTCTGATAAATGGATGGTTATAATCGTCCTTTTACTCGATCATAAGCCCTGAATGAATGTAAACATGTTATGGAGCTGCACTAGGGCACGTGTGAAGTCGATTATACAAAGAAGTGCATGTGACCTTCTTTTGACGTGCCTTCCACATCGGGCATTTCACAATTTCTTGCTGTGAAAAATAACTTACATAATGTTAAACATTATTTGTAATTAAATTTACCATTTTTGATTGATAGAAATCATGAACAAAATTTCAAGTTTCTTCCATAATCAATACAAATACAGAAAAAACTTAAAATATTATTTTGAATTTCTACTAAACTGAAATGGTAAATTAAATTACAAATAATGTTTAACATTATGTAAGTTATTTTTTAAGGCAAGAAATTGTGAAATGCCTGATGTGTTCCCAGTCCAGACTCCCACCTGCCATCACTTGCACGCAATCAAGTGGATTCTACCTTGAATTACTGCTGCTAGATCTCTGGATAATCCATGCTTGGGATTTCTCGTTGCCTGCACATCGTAGATTCAAGCATACTCAACACGTCATTGATTCTGGTCACCCGCTTGACCATAATTAGATCGCGCTGTTCAGGGTGTAATTCTTTACGGGATTCTCGGGACTTCGGACAATGACGTGAAGCTATATTATTGAGCGGCCCTCAGGCCGGTGATATAACCTGATTCAAAAGGTCTAGAAGGATTTATAGCTGCGGAAGAAAGGTCGCATCCGCTCTCGTCACTTCTATCTACTCGCAATGAGTTCAGTTCCACATATCCCATTTGATAGCTACGTGCCGAAGATCGCAATCGTCACAGGTGGTGCACAAGGAATAGGCTATGCTATCGTCCATAGATTGGCAGATGATGGCTTTGATGTTGCCATCAACGATATACCCACAAAGAGGAAAGAGCTAGACACTGTCACTGAAGAGGTTCGCAAGAAGGGTCGACGTGCAATTGCCGTTCCAGGAGATGTATCCTCTGAATCTGATGTCGTCGCTCTGGTTGAGACTACCGTCTACGAACTCGGGGGTGTGGATGTCGTAAGTAACGACTACCAGGGTCTCTGGCATATATCTAATCCGTGATGTAGATGGTTGCAAATGCAGGAATCATACTTGCTGGTGAATTCCTCGAACGTAGGTTGTGAATCGTTGGTTCTTGTATGTGTGAACTCATGAATGGTTTCTTCACGTTAGTTCCTGTTGAGAAATTGGACGCCACTCTTGCAGTAAACGTTCGTGGCGTTTTTCTTTGTCTTAAACATGCCGCCCTGCAAATGGTGAAGCAAGGACGTAGTGGAAGATTGATAGGTTTGCCATCCACACTTAAGATAGTGCACACACATCCCATAATTATTGTATCATTTCAAGCTGCGAGTTCGGTGATGGGCAAACAAGGTATAGAGAATTCTTCCCTGTTCCTTTGTCACCTTCCGCTCAATTTTATTCAGGCGGGCCACAAATATCAGCTTATTCGGCTTCGAAATTTGCAGTCCGTGGGTTGATACAGTCTGCCTGTACGTTTGTTGCAACTTTCCAGTACATGATTAGTTTCGGGTTCATTCTCATCCTTGACCCCTGCACTATAAAGCAATTGATCTGCGTAAATACGGAATCACGGCCAATGCATATGCACCTGGAGTCATTCGTTCAGCCATGAGTAAGTTACTTACCCACGTTGCTAAATAAACCATTGCATACAGTTGTTAACATGCAACTGTTCCAAGCCAAGGGATTTCTTGAAGCTCAAGCCACTGCAGATGAGGTGAGCTCTGCGTAACTGGAGGTATATAGCCCTTCATCACTCCACCGGGTTATCCCTATAACCCACTAGCAGCCGACCCTTCGCGGAACCCGAAATCGTCGCCAGTCTGGTTTCCTACCTCGCTAAGCCGGAATCGTACTTTGTGAATGGTATGTGCTAGACCACGATTGGTTCACATTACCGAACTAAGTCTGCCCATTGCAGGCCAGAGCATAATTGTTGATGGAGGCAGCTACCATTTTGATTAAACATTCCCGGCTTCAAGAGACTATGCAAATGGTCCATGTTCTTTGGGGTGATGTATATTCACAATTATACCCTAACTCTTGTCATTTTTACTCATTTGTAAAATTGCAGTTTATCAATTTGTTTGAGTAAGCCCAGTTCTGTAAGGCAAGGACAGGAAACATGCAATGCATTAATAGTCTAATTGAAATTATTATCATGCAAACCCCTCAGTTGTTTAAACAAGTACATGCCATTCATTACTGCCTTTTTCATAAGTATTGTCACACTTGATGATTCATCATTTTTTGTCACAAAAGTAAACAAAACAAAAAAATAGCTATTTCTCACTAGTGCTCTGTGTGTAGTGTATATGTTTACATGTGTAAAATTTCCCATGTATACACATACACACATATAATTACAGGTGTAAACTGGGTCAGTAGGACCTATATATGATACACTACTTCTGTATACAGTGTATACAGTGTATATGCTGTGCCAAATATAACAAGATACTTTACATTAAAATAGCTTATAAAAGTACACTATCATCTTTCAAAACAAATGCTTAATATTACTGAGCTAAGAAAATGTATTGTTGTTACAGTTCTCTACTCTTGTACTTTCAGTTCTGAGGGTTCCACACCCTTCTGTACCAGAACTCAGGACTTCTGTCCCTCAGGGGTACTGTCTATAGACTATATACATGCTGACTCTTACTACTACCCTTCCTTACTTCATTATTCCATTCCTTTGACCACCCTTTCATTCTTTGTTCATTCTATAGTCTCTTACCCTTTGTCTATCCCTTCATTCTTTGTACCTTTATCTTTGACCTTCCTTTCTTTCATTCTTTGTGACTTATTATTCTTAGTAACTCATACTCCCTGAGTACTCTTGTGTAGTTTAGTATATATAGGTGTACAAGATCAGACTAGTCCTGTAGTCTTAATCTCATCTACTCTAGGTAGTCCTGTACTCTTAGGCTTACTTTATATACTCTACTCTTGTCTTACTCTCTCTCTCTGTCTGTTCTACAAGTTCTGACTATGTTCTAGTGTTTGTATTCTGTATTTCTGTTGTGTAGGATAGTTGTAACCTGGGTCCTCTTACTAAGCCTTTAGGTCCCCTCTATACTATTGTAAACATTAGATTAAGACTACCTATTACTACCCTACAACTCTCTTACATTTCAAGCATTAGTACTCACTATTGTGTTGATCTCTTTTCTTTGTCCTAACCCTTTTACATTTTTAAATTTTAAACTTTCTAAACCCTTTTAAACTTTTGCTACCCTTCTTCTATTCATTACCCCTTTTAGTTTAGTACTGATTCCTTTATAGTGTAAACATGGACCCTCTTACACTGACTGCCACCCCTACTGTCCTGTCAGATTAGCAGTTACAAGCAGACCTAGCTTAATATGTGTAAACCTCTATCTAAGAGGCCTTTACTAACTATATACCTCTACGCCCCCTTAGAACCTGTTCCAATTGTTCCAGAAGTTACAACCTGTTCTAGAAAGAAAGTGTATGTAGCTTGCCCTTTAGACTTTAATGAGTAGTACTTTAAGAACTTCTAGTGCTAAGTCAAACTATATGTAGCTACTACTTTGACCAATCTATTCTCAGATCTCAA